GTCATCAGTCAAAAAAAAAAAATCTAAAATCACACAACATTGCAGTACTAAAATACCTTGAAGAGCATGAAAAAAATTCTCTCTGAAAGTTTAATATTTTTTTGCTGTTTATTCGTTGAGTTATTAGCTTTCAAATAGTTGTCACGCAATACTGTCACGCGACTTGAAACACGCCAAATATACCTCGGAAAGCCTATTAACATGTATTAATCTTAAAACTAGACGCTCAAAAGCGTTTACATGAGCTTCCTGTAGCAATGTTATTTACGCCTAGACGGCATGTGTCCTACGCCATSTCAAAATTACATCTAGCTGCAAAGTGCCAGTTTWAAAAATACCAGTTTTATAAATGTTTACATTACAGACATCAACAGTTAGCAGTTAGCAAGGTTATACGAAAAGCTTTCAACAATATTTACACCGACCAACSTTGGAAACGAAGWGCAATGATTTGTAAGCTTACATAAAGACCATAAGAAATAAACTGAACTATTGACGACATGGAATATCGAAATATAAATCCAATGGCGGCTTTCTTGTTCAATTCGCTTTAAATTCACCGTAAATTCCTTGATCATGAAGATTCTTGAATTCCATATACACTTGGGACTTATTAAAAGGGTGCATAGCATCAGATGTCTTCAATTCAGCATTGACAGAGTCAGTTTTCATGTCAGTTATTAACGTTCCGTTAGTTTTTAGGTAGCTCGGAGTGATATTTGGAACGTAGTTAAAAACGGGTCAGTTAGATAAATCTTGAAACGACCCGTTCGAAATGTACGCCTATTAGCACGTAATYTTTTCGACATCTTCATCGTTCATGTGACAACTATTCTTTTGGGATCCCTGTGGTTCAATTCGCAAAGCATCATGGGGGACTATACACGACGTTGACAGATAGATTGATTGAAGAAAAGGTATATTAAGACATGAGCTTCCACAGGAAGCCCATGTAACAAGTATAGGGAGGGGAGTCTCGTGGTATTAAAGAAAAAATTATTTGTTATTTCATTTTTAAGATAAAATTCTACTTCGTCTATAACGATAAATATTTGATTGAAATTGAAAAGCTATTTTATAAAGATTTTCAATTTCTCTTTGCGTTTTAGCTTYDAYTTTTCGGATAGAATAAAATGGCAGGCAGCCTACTCCACTGGGTCGAGTTTTGCTGTGCAAATTCCTCCCGTCGGGGGGTTGAGTTTACAACATAAGCTTGTSARCTTTGCGCTGATTGGCTAGTCGCATTTTCTCAAATCACCCAGATCCCATACTGCATTCTTACCAATTTTCGATCGCTCGTMTTTCTGTTAAAAAGTGCATTATTTTGGCTCAAAATTTCGTAGTGTTCCTTTAATTTAGATGTTCTATTAAGGACAATGATAACATTTCGCTAATTTGGCCTCTAAGTAGCATTTTTWGAATATCACGTGATTAGTGAAAACCAAGAATTTTTTGTCTTCATAATTCCAGTTAATTGTTTTTTACTATAATCCAGATAATTTCTTGCTTAAAGAGAGAAACTTGGACAGTGTCGCTCTTGTGCAGCTAGGACTATCAGGAATAAAGTTTAAAGTCACTGTCAATCTATGAGGGTGCCTTTGGAAAATCAAATCATCACCTCGATCGTTCATCCCCGTCCTACTTTTAAAAYAGAAAGGAGTACCATCACAATATGAAGTAAATTCGTCTGAACGCAGTCGAACTGGTAGCCACAGTAGGCTGTAAGCGGCTAAAGCCCATATATCCACAGACAGCCAATGTCATTCAGATTTTTATTCCCTCTGGAACAGCAGTTTGGTCAAAGTTAATCCTAATTCAATTTTTTATTTGATTTGATTTAATTTTTTTGAACACGAAGATTTCCCTGATACCGTCTCAG